CAAGGATATCAATCCCGCAAGTTCCCTCATTACAGCCACCTAATATCTAATTGATTGCTGACAAATGAGGGCCTACGCAACAATTAATGCCGATTGGCACTTAACCGATGTATTATAAATAATGCACTTGGTTTACATTCCAGAGCGAAGTGCAGAAACACCTTCGCATTCAGATGCCCCAGACACATGACTTCACTTTCCCTGAGAGCCCCATAAGTAGCTGGGCATCCACACAGCGATGCCAAAGTATCCACATATCCAGCCATAAATAGCTCATTATCATTAAATTAGGAAAACAAGTTGTTTAACCCAATGCCCGGGGCTGTTTGACTGGAATTTGCTCTATTAACACACACACACACACACACGCACACACGCGCACACACACACGCACATGGCATGCACTCATGTGTCGGCGAGTACAATCATAAATAAACATTTGTTGCCATTATAATGAGATGAAAGTCAATGTCAATGCAGTCGGCACCTGAAATCCCGAACGTTGTTGTACATGGTTGCACAATAATGATGCAAGTACATTATGTACTAAACTGGGCGCACCTGCTGGGCTAAGTGCATTATGGCAATGGGCCCATTGTCTGGTGAAAGTTTAATGAACCCGATAATCAGGCTAACTAATCCCTCAATTAGAGCGCATCGAAATGCATTATGTGGCACATATAGCACGAATAACTCCACATTTGACCTTCGAGGGGGGGAAATTAGCTCAACTGAAAAGTGCGCTGCTCGTTTATCTCCAGTAAATAGGCGAAACCTAATTGAAAACTAATTTCCTTACACGCCCACCGCGTGTGTGCCTGTGTGTGTGTGGGAAATAAAACGCGAATTACATGCGAATGGCCACAATATGGGCAATAAAACATCGGAATCAGTTTGCTGGCAGTCTCAAGGAACAAGAGCGGCCACATCATGGCTAATAAAAATTTATTGGCGCCAGGACAGGCTCATGACCAGAGCTTGGATATAAATAAAATGGGTCGTAAAAGGGACTTTATGCTGCAGTAAACACGTCATCAACATATCAACTGGGCACAGATAAGCAGTTGCCAGTATCAACTTGGCCAAGTTGGGGGCAATTAGAGTCATAAACTGGGCTCTGAACGCGGAAGAGGCGTCAACGGGCACGTCGCTATATTAGCACTTGATGGAAATGGCTCCGGCCATAACAATCAGCAACGGCAGGTGTACTTACTCCGCTTTTCAGCGGTTTATCACGGCCGGATCATACGACTACTGACCGCTTCCGAATGTTCCACACTTCCTTTTGATGGTCCCATAAAATCTTGACCACGACCAGATACATGGATTGCGGCAGCTCTCCTAACGACTTCGCCACTAACTGCCAGGGATTAGAATGAATATCTTGCATATGATATACTTATGTACCTACTAGATTAATTTCAATTACTATTACTAGGAAAACACAAATTGTAATCAACTTGCGAACTGAAGTTCCACCTATTATCCATTTCAAAAAAGCAGTGATAATTGTATTCATTTAATATATCAGTGGTCTAATAGTATTGATAATAATAATAATTGCTACAATGGTCCCAACTGAAGAGAGGCCCTAATTTTACCCATTTTTAGGATGTCACATAACTTACAGACCACTTTCAAGTCCAATAAAGAAGACTTAATTTTACTTTATTTGATTTGAATATATTTACAAACTTACAAGGAGCAAATTCCAATTTTAATTGCTATAAAATTGCATGTATTAAAATACATCAGAGAGCACAGAATCACGCAAAATGAGCCCAGCATTTGGGCAGAATTTTTGTCATGTGGTCACAAGCCACCTGCCCCATCCAAAAACCTTATTGGGTTATTTTTTTCTTTTTGTTTGCTATGTGCCAAGACGAACTTCTAAGCGCAGAAAATGAAAAGGTGAAGGAGCATTTTTCCATCATCCTTAAATGTGTGTATCGTGCAGGACGTCGCGCAAATCACCCAAGTGAATTCACGCCATTTTTCAGCGTCCGTCGCTTTGTCCGGGCGAAGGCCCAAACTCCCACACACACACACACACACACATTACATGCTCCCCCATGAGTCCTGGTCCAGTCCTACAAGTCCTATAACGGGCTACCCCACTTAACCGTCCGGCGACCCGGCGATGCCGCCGATTCTACTCCCGCTCCTGCTCCTCCTCCTGCTCCTCCTGGTCCTCCTGCTCCTGCTTCTGCTGCTGATGCTGACACGTTCGCTGTCCGTCGCCGGGCGCTCGAATACAAAATAAATATCCAATATATGCCCATGTGGGTGTGTATCCTGTTTCTGGCATATATTATAAGTGGAATAGAAAAATAAATGCGCCGAGATAAAAGTTTTCCCCCCTCGGCGCGTCTGCTCGCCAGCCCAAGCCCAAGCCCGAACCCACCCACTCGACCCTCCGTCCGTCCATCCGTCCGCTTGTCCGTTTGTCCGTATGTCCGTTCACCCATGTCCCATTCCGCCCACTCCCAGTCCGCCGTTCAATTCACCGCGGCGCAGCAGCAACATGTCAGCGGCGAACAATAACAACAAGCTGAAGAACGGAGCGCGACAAAAGGCGAAGGCCCACTTGCAAGTCGCCCCGGCCTTTGCAAAACGGACGCGTCACGAAGCACGTTTGAAATATTGAAGGAAGGACATTTAGGAATAAAATGAAAGGATCGCACACCCCACCACGCCACCACGCCACCACTCCACCCGTCGCGCAAACGTGTGTCCTCGCGCACACATGCAGAAAACTTGGGGGATTTTTTAAAATTGATATTCGGACGGTAAGCGTAGGTAAAAAGAATATTGAAAAAAAGTGCTGATAACAAACTTTGATGGGGCATTCATACGAAACTCTGTAAGCACAAAGTTTCTAATTTAGATTTTAAGCAGAATATGAAAGTACGCTCAATTAGTCTTGGTTAAATTAGTATTAAAAACAAAATGCGCTTTCAAGATCACCTCGTAAGATATGGAGCTTGTTAACACCGCCGAAAATCTATTGATTTTAGAATTTCCAGTCCCACGTCTTATTTTTTTCGCGTGGAGGTACACTCACACACGGACACGTCGGCAACCCGTGTGCAAAACCCTCGCGCTGCCCCCACCACCACCACCACCACCATCCCATCACATGTCCTGTTTGCTACGGCAAGAACCCACTTACACACACACACGCAGACACGGACACGAACACACGTGCTTGTATGTGTATACTTCGCGTAAATATTGGGAGTCCTTGACTACGCGATGTGAATGATGCTGATAAAATACAAATTCTTGGGCCGCGGCGTTGGCCGCTAGTGTATTTACACAACTGTACTTATGCCCAGCCGGTCACTGCCCAAGTCCGAGGCAACCACGGATGGGATGCTCACGATGGGAATGCGCGGGGGTGCTTGGTGGAGGGGGAGGGGGGGAATTTCGGCGAAAGGACGAAAGGAAGTCCCACCACCGCGGGGAACGACAACACGGCCCACGGCCCACGCCTTGGCGCACAACATTGACTAGCCGCTATTACGGGGTCCCGCGACTCGGAAGTCCAAAAAGGACACTGCGCGAAAAGTGGGACACCTTCTGGGGGCCAGCTTGGACAGTGTTCTAGAACTCCCAAAAATGCCGAGTGATCATGCGATGAGAAATAACTGATATACCTCTTTTTAATGCTAGTAACATCATTATTATGAGTTAGATCCTAAAATGTATTGCCATATATATTTCGTATAGTTATTGTTTTATACATATCCTGTCATATTATATATCATATTATCATATCATATTATATAGCATATTATCATATCATATTATATAGCATATTACCATATCATATTATATATCATAGTATATCATATCATATTATATGTGCATAAAAACAAAGCTGCTATTTCCCGATACTTGCTTTCCAGATAGCTGAGATACTTTCTGATTCCATTAATTTCCATGGCAAGTGCCAACTTAGTGCCGTTTCGCGCAGTGCACGAAATCTCCTTGTCCAGTTAGCGAACAAAAATCTGCGACGAAATTACGCCACATGTGTTCATGCCACGAGCAAATTTTCAGCGAAGCTAACGTACGGTAGGCGGACAAGGGACAGCACTTTCATCTTAGGACGATTCTTTCAAGGGACGAACCCAATTTCGCCGTCCCATCAGGACGAGGGGTGGCGATGGCCGATGGTTTAGTGGGCGGGGGTCACGGACATCATATGAGTTCGCTGTGGGTGTGCGAGTGTGTGCGTGTGTGTGGTGTGAGTCTGTGTGTGTGTGTGTGTGTGTGCGTGGGTCGTGAACGATTGTGTGAGCGCTTTTCAGGGGTGTGGGTATCGCGCTAAATGGACAGCCGCCCAGCTCAGACATTCGCACACACACACACAGAGCTACACACGCGAGTGTGTGTTTTGCAGGATATTTCACTGTGAACGTGTGTGTTTGTGTGTGTGGCCTCCAAACACGACTCTTCGGCTGTACGGCTTGTGTGCCTTGGGCGCGGGTCCGTACACGGCAGCAGCATCAGCCACTTTGTCCAATTTTCAAACGGTCACTTTTTGAAACGAATTTTCCTCGCCGTCGCCGGCACCGCCCCCCGCCCCGCGCCCCCCAAGTCACCCGAACAGCACCCAAACCACTCACTCATACCACTCACACCACCCAAACCACCCAAACCACCCAACCGCCCTTAGCGACGTTGCTCGCGCGGAGGCAATGATTCTAGGCCATGAAATCGACATTCGCATTTTAGAATCCACTTAACCAGCGGCGGAAGAGAATCTCAGAAATCCACTATCTGCATCTTAAAGGCCAACCTTTGATTTTGATTTAATCTGGAGTCGGCTGTTCGATTGAATTGAATTTGCTTGGCCATCGCCTATTTCAAAGTGTATAATTGCCATCAAGATTCGCCAGCAATGTACTATTAAAATTTATAAATAATCAATGCAATAGTAGATGTCAATCTCTATCTCTATTGTGTTTTAAATGTGATAAAAGAGGGTGGGGTAATATTAACTCCTTTAATTTGTTGCGTTCTCAACAAGCAAAATTATTTCGATGTCTCCGAGGCTCTGCGCGCCAAGTCCTCCTTCTTGAAGTTGAGCCGTGGATCCTTGAGCAAGGAGTTCTTGACCACCTCGTATTTCTTCTGGGACTCTTCGTGGGTGAGCGTCAAACGCTGTTGCACCATTCGCTTGTTGAGTTCCAGATCCTTCGATTGCTGCACCAACCTCTTGTAGTCGTAGTTGTTGAACTGATTTTCGAATTTGTTGAGGAACCGGTTCAGCGACTTCGACTCGGAAGTTAACTGCAATTTAAGATATCTTAACATTTTATCTTGAATATTTTACAATACCTTTGGCTTACATCTTCATAGTGGCGCTGCAAGTTATTGAGCAGGCTCACAAACCGCGACTTCAGATCGTTTAGGCAGGCGTTATATGCATTTAGGGATTGCTCCGGAGTAAGTTCCTCCTGGTGCTTGTAGGGCACCAGATATGGAGCGAGGAAATCGGCGGGCTTGCTGGCTATTTCCTTTTTAAGCTCCTCCTCCTCCTCAAACTGAATGGTGGACATTTTGGAAATCAAAGTATATTATGATTAGGTGCCACATTTACCTGTCGCATTCTAATGGCTCTGGCTGCTCCATTCCGAAGCGGATCGAATATGCTGAACTTGAGCTTCGGATCAGCCTTCTCGCATCTACGCGAGTCGAACACATTGTTTATGTCCTCGAATATTTTTTCGAAGTTCTTCCTCAATTGGTCCTCATACTGCAGTTGCTCGCACAACAATCTGTAGAGTTGGAGATTAGTGCGGGTTGGATCTAGGGGATTTGCCTGCAGGAGATTTGGGAATGCCTGTGTGAGCCAAAGTAATAATAATAATAATTATGCAGACACTTGCCTTGTATATTTTCGTAAGTTTCTCATCGTATACGAGCTCTTTGCCATAATCCGGCCTTGGTGGCTTTGTGAATTCCACTACCGTAGCGGTGAGTGCCCCGAATGTGTAGTGAAATTTCAAAACAATTTTATTTTGTTGAAAGAGGAACGTGCGTGTTGCAATATCATTTGCGCCCACGTCATTAGCACTGGCTTTGAGAAATTTCTCGGTGACTTTCTGTTGGAGTTGGCCAAATGAATTGTTAAATGTTTGCTTACTAACTTATCACAAATGACTCACTTTGAGAATGTTTCCAGCTGGGGTGAATTCAAATTCCTTGTACCAACACTTGTCACTGCGATCCTTGTAGTGCAGAACTAGGGAGCCTGGCTCCACCACCATCAGCTCCAAGGAATCGATTCTGGAAGCCGAATAAAAGTGCACTCTTCGCTGCTGCGAGGCGTCCGAGAAATATTCGATGGCTAAAAAGTAGTAGCGATTAATTTATTCAATAACTTTTCAGGATATTTACGTATACCCACACTTGAGGCTGTCATTTCGCCCTTTGTTGAATATCTCCTCAAACTGATCGGTGGCATAGGTGTACTTCACGTGGCGCATGAGGTCAGATCGATTTTCATAGTACTCATATCTGACCTTGGGAATGGTGCACTCGTCGTTATTGAAAATGGTTAGCTGCATCACCTTGCCATCGCGCTGGGAGTAGGGCGAGAATCGCTCGTGGATGGCACCCTTGTACTGGATCTTCTTCTCGGAGCTGGGAAAACGTTGCTCGAAGTCGGCCAGGCCGATGTGCAGTCGCTCCACCCAGGAGCCAATGCAGTCCAGGTGCTTCTCCTCGCTGATGTCGCGCTCCTCGTCGGCGACATTCTCATCCGAGGCCATTTTGTAGATGCGCATCTCGGGCGGCTCACCTGGCAGCATGTGCTCCCAGTCCCTGGTGTCGCGCAGATCCCAGCGCAGTTCACTCACCCTCTGGTGCTTCTGCTTGCAGACATAGTAGTTGTACTCATTCCAGATGCTGTCCACAAGGATGTACTGCTTGCAGCCCGTTTCGCAGATGAATCCTGTCGAGGGCTCTATGAAAATGGCCGTGGGCGGAGCCTCCACCACATCCCCATTGACATCCGTGTAGGTGGTCTTTGGCTTGATACTCCAAGGTGCATTGTTTATGATCACCACCCAGGCATGACTGCGTCGATAATGATGTCGATCCACGGCCAGCAGCTCAAGATCCTGTTCGGGATTAGCCAGCACGTTAATCCTCGCTACGAATGTGCAAGTGCATGTATGTGCATATCCTCACCTCCATTTGCTTCCGAATAATTTCGTCCTGAATCCGTTTTTCCTCTGCCTCCTTTTGCCTGTGAACCTCGGCCATATCCTCCTCCAGATGACTCGTCAAATCGGGTAATCCGCGCAGCTTGTACTTCTGGCCCTGCTTCTCGACCTTTGGCTTCACCTCCTCGGCCTCCACCTCGACGATTGGATACGGGTACGGAATGGCCAGCTGGTCGTTGAGTATCGTCTCCTCGCGGGCCACTCCGGACACCACCAGCGCTGGGTGTCCAGCTCCGATCAGCATGCTGACCAGCAGAGTGGCCATCTCGTAGGAGTTGCCCTTCCGCCTGCGCAACAAGGTTTCCGGCGAAATCAGGCGACTTGGCTGCAGGATAACATGGGAAATAGGTATGCCATGAAAATTGTAGGGGAATCATTCCAGTTGACCATTCTAGTACTTTTGTTATGAAGTCATACAAATAATGAGCACTGCACCAGATATATTCTGATTATAAAATTGATACATTAAAGTGATTATTTTATAAGGAAATCACTTCCTTAAATATTTGCTTGAGTTAAAAATCATTTTCAAATACCCTGGCTAGCATATGATTTCCTCTCATTAGCTCAAGAATACAATATCTTGAAATCATCCCCCGATAAAAGTCATTGGAAGCCAATATGCAATTGCAATACAAGAGTTTATTAGCTGGCTATAAATGTGTAGAGGTATATAGACCGGGACGGAGGAAACAGCATGTCAGTTTCCACGAAATTTCGCACAAACTATTGCGCAGCACGAGACAAAAAGGAAATCCTCGATTACCTTTGGCAGCGAGGAAAATTACCTGCCCGAGGAAAATGTATATGCACCCTATATATGGCCCTGTAAAAACAGCAGGAGTCAAGATCGCATGGGCTATGTTTTACAGCCTTGGAAAAGTTACATCCGTTTTGCATAGAGTTTGGGAAGACCCCGGGTTGGGAAAATGAACCTGTTGCGCGGCGTGAATTCGTAAGGGTATCTCAAAAGTTCAATTTTGAAGCTAAAATACAGGAGTATAACACGTATCTTAGAGATGTTTTATCTTAATCTTCTAGTGGCATATATATCCAAATTCCTCATCCAAATTCTGCAGAATCGTTTAAAGCCAGGAAACTGTAACTTCTTGGCCGTTTTCCAAGGGGGTATTAACCATATAGTGTTTACTCATGCCCGTTCATTTCGATGTGTTTTTTTTCCCCCGATTTTCGGATGTCATTCAGTTGCCCAAAACAATCAGCGGTCTGTTTTCATTGCATCTCGGCATCGAGGTAGTGAGTAGTGAGACCCACTCCCATTTAATCCGCCTTCGACCGATCCTTTGTCCCGATTGTTTACCTGCACATCTGCGACTGCCCCGTAGGTGGCTGCGTGACCCCGTGCCATTCATCTTCCTTGCCGTTCCGCGAAGACTTAGGAGACAATCCAGCCGTTTGCCAGGAATTCTGTGCATGTGCGTCCGAATTTGTGATGCGTAGCGAAGCGGCCATTAACGCGGGAAACGCTGGCAATTATTGTGGGCCTGGGGTTCCTGGCTCCTCGCTTTCTCGGTTCCTCCTGCCTCCAGTCGTTGACACATACGCACTCCGAGATTGCAATTGCCATTGCAGCAGCGGCGCGTTGCAGTCGGGAAATTCAAATACACAGAGCTCTAGTTTCGGTTTGGGATAGGATTTGGTATAAGCCTAGATCTGTCAGGATCTAAGACTGGGTATGTGATGGTAGCATATTAAAATGACATGACAGGACGTTGATAGATGGTAGGATCTGCGGTGCAAACAGCAATACTAAAAGTATCTGCGAGATATCACGTCATAGGACCACATAGGGTGGCCAATACTTTTTCGCGGGAAAGGAGCTAAACAGGATTCCAGACGTGTGGAGGGTCCTGCACCTTTCCACCCCGCGCAGATACGCCCCGTCGCTTCGGAGAAGGCCATTAAAATGCAAAATCGCCGTGTGAAGCCATAAGAATCACAATGAGGCCCGGAGTCATCAGCTATCGGCGGGGCAGCCGAACGAAGTCGCACTGTTCGAGGTCAAACACTCTCGCTCACGCTCTTTCGAATCGATTAGTCAGCAAACCAGTCAGTCAGCGGCGTCTAATTGAATTCGATGCAAGCGGCATTACCTGGCCAGCCGATTGAGTCCTCCTCCTGCGTTCTGCTCGCTCCTTCCTCCCCAGATGCCTCGGCTACCAAGGCTACCCCTGCTACCCTGGACTCCCTGGCCATGGCAGCGCGTTGCAGAGCCGCTATCACTGCGGTCGCGCGTAATAAGAAACGCTTCAAGGTTATTCGAACGTGTTAAATTAGGATCGGGCCTGGTAGAGCAGTCGCAACAATGGAGGAGCGAACATGACGAAAACAAAGGGACGAATGCACAGCGAGAATGGAGCAACGGGCGCCCGGTTGCTCGAACAGGGGCCCTAGCTCAAATTACAGTCGGCGAAAGGGATAATGTCGAGATGATCGACTAGCAGATACCTCTCACACTGATAATGATCGTAGCCCACACGGGAATACATACTAGCCACTAAGTTTTATGTTGTGTTATTTATTTATTTATTAGTTAAAAATGCTTTAGTATTAGGTTTATGGTTTAATGAGCTAATAATTGGCATAGAAATGTTGTGCCACAATGTGCTGCTTGCTGCTACCTCTTTTCTTTTGCGTTGATATACCCCACTGCACCAAGACCACTGGGTACGGAACGACAACGTCCATCTGAAGGAATAAGTAGAAAAAAAGCGAAAAAACTGCGCCAAAAGCGGCGAAAAATTGCGAAAAAAGGGTGGCAAGTAACAGAGTCTGCCGAGACAGAATCACTTTCAGTTGCCACCCTGCTGAATGGCTGCCTGCCACTGCCGCCGCCACCGCTCGCGGGTCACAACTCAAAACAATGCGGCCGTCGAGGGCTCAAGACGGGGTTGTCAGGCGGACTCGCACACACATAGACACACAACAAACACACACAAACACACACGCACACACACTGGCGGCCTTCCCTCGTTGACACAATGCAGCAGCCCCACACCCACCAGAAAGATGCCCCATACGACGCCGCACGACACCATACGTACCAAACGCCCACACCAGCCCGTCGTCGTCCTCGTTAGACTAACCTGGGGGCGAAGGACTCGCTGGGGAGGCACATCGCTTATCGGGATGCATAATGAGCCGCTGCCATCTTTTGCACAAGAGCGCTGAAACAAAGCGGTGAAATTCAGCGCGATTCCTTCGGCCGAGCCGTCGAGTCCTTGCGCGTCCTGGCTGATGGCCACAAGACGTCAGGAGCCAGGAGTGGGGTGTCGGGTGTGCGCCTCCTCCAGGAAATCCCAGGCCGGGCCTTTTGCGGGCCAGCAGCGTGTGTAAGTTTTTAAATGAGCACACACGATGAAAATCAGCGACTTAACCCCTTTATGATAATGTACTGCACGGAAGTGTTATTGTCCTGGGGACAAAAGGACACACGGCGCCGCTAGTGTCGCCATAATACGCGCAATACCACCACCACCATCTTCCGGACCCATTTAACCGCCCAATGTTGCCCCGGCCAAGCCAACTCAACCCGACCTATTCCATCTCATCCCGTCCCGTCAAAATCCGCTCACTATTTGCGCGTCTTCGTTGATATTGCGCCCCTGGAAGTACGTGGATGTCTATGGGGCCATTCCCCATTCACCACGCAGGGGTTTTATTATTTGCCCGGCTTCCCGCTCTTCCCCCTTCCGCTTCCGCGACCCAGAACCCAGGACCCAGGACCCCGGGCACATAAAAGTCCCGGCCAATAGACGCTCTTAAAAACGGCCAAGATTAAGATATAAACACGCGAAATTAAGACATTTGATTCCCCCGAACAGTCAGTCAAAGTCGTCGCCTTTCAGCTGGAGCTTAATGGAGGTTTTGCTCTGCGGCGGGCTTACGCTAAATCCCATCATAGTTTCACCCACATCCTCAGAGGAATTACACACAGGATTTATTAATATGGGGCACGCGGTATTAGCCCAGTTTTGAAAGTGGCCAATACCTTGAAAGGCTCGAAACTTTCACGATAATCAGTAGGGAAACACTTTGGGTTCAGCAATGCCGTGCATTGCATTTGATATTCAATAAATCATAGGACTGAAGAACTGGCCCATCCTGACAGGCCTTTTCCTAATCAATAGCTCTCCACATATGACCAGCTGTACATTAAATTTGAGCCCTGCCATCGGAGGCATTCTTATTCAATACCGCGCTGTCTGAGCCAAGCGAGTGTGTATACGACGATGATGGTTTTAAACTCCGCCGTTGTCTTTGGGATACAAACCCGTGTACAGCCGGTGGACAGGGGCCAGCCAAGTGATGGAGTGGGCGGAGGGTATGGGGATGCGGATGTGGATGTGCTGGAGTGGCACCCACCGACTGCCAATGCGGCATCCTAACGACGGCGCACAACTTACAATCACAGATTCGATCCAAGTCACATGGCGTTGCCCACAGCGAGGATAAATGCGACGGACAGACGACGTCGCTAAGAACCGATGTGGGATGAGGTCGCGGCCATCGGGACTGGGACTGGAACTCGGAACTCCGGACTGCGGACGGTGGACGGCGGACAGCGGACGGCGGACCACGGACTCGAGTGATGTGACGGGGGTCGCGAATCCAGACAGATGCGGACACTGATGCGAGGACTCGGACACAAAGTCGATGTGTGTTTGGTTTGGTTTTGGTCTGCTTTCGAGCAAAGGAATACGCCACTCCGTCGCGGGCAAGGCGAGTAAGTGGACCCGACGAGTCCTGCAGTCGACAATGGCCGACGGTGGAGGCTAGATGCTGCACAGCGAGAAATGGTTCCACATGCATGTATGTAACTCGCTCCCCACTTCCATGAGTGCTTGCAACAAAACGTTCATTATCCACTTGCATCCCATTGAATATTCCACATCCCTGCAGCAAGACCATATGTTTCATACTTTATATTCAAATGATGGCTCGTAAGAAAGCGCTCCTTATTGTTCGCCGTGTAGATGTGTAGATGGTCGACGCTCAATGGCCGCGGCAATGGCCGTGTCAGCGACAGCGAAATTGGCGTCTAGTTTATTGTAGCCACGAAGGCTGTTGGCCATTGCCGGAGCACCTTTGGCGGCGGGACGTGGTGGGTGGCAAGAGATGGCCGGTGGCACGATGGGTGGGGCAGCGGTGGTTGCGGATGTTCTGCGACTTAAACCGAGCGTGGCATGGTAAACAGCAGCCGCGGGGCTGAAAGGTCCTGGTAGCTGCAGGGGGGCAGGCAGCCCACGTCATCGGTTCGCTCGCCCGTCTGACCATATATGGCCAAGTTCTGCCTCCTGCCTC